GAGGCTGGGCCCAGGTCCGGGCATGTGCCCATAGGCAGCTCGCAGCCGGACATGGTGGGCTGGGGAGAGAGGATGGGCGCTCAGCATCCCGAGGACAGCGGCGGCCCCTCGCCCCATCCTGCAGGAAGTGGGGGGCACGCCGAGACCGACGGAGGATCGGAGAAGACTGGGCGGGGTGTAAACGTACGTCCCCGCCGACGTCGGCAACCGCCCTCCTCTCACCGAGTCAGTTGCTTCCCAGAAAGCTTGGAGCGGGCCTCCCGAGATGCACTGCGCTGTAGTTCAGCGCCGCACGCTCAGGACCGCAAATGCCCCCATAATGCGCCGCGCACAGCCCGGGCCACTCCCATGATGCACCGGCTTGTAGTTCCCTCCCACAACCAATCGCTTTGCAGCGGGGCGGGCAGAAGCAGAGCCACGCCTCCCCAGGATCCTGTGCACGTAAGGGCCCTGGTTCGCAAAATGGATAACCCCGCTTCGGGTTCCTCTCCATCATCCATTCCCGTCGACCAATAAACTGGCCCCGTCAGCCTTACTGTCATGCTCCCCTGTTTCCCTGGAGACTATTCTCCCCATTTTGTAGATCCAGGGTCAGCAAATTTTCTGCAAAGGGCCAGAGAGTAAGTGTTTTGGGACTTCCGGTGGCAACTACATACCTCTGCTACCAGTCAACCCTTCTGGGGTAATGAGAAAGCAGCCATGGACAATACTAAATGGATGAACCTGGTTGTAGTCCAATAAAATTGTATTTTTAGATACTTAAGCTTCATTTTCACCTGTCACAGAACATTATTCTTTTGATTTTTTTCAACTATTTAAAAAATGTAAAAACCATTCTAGCTCACAGGCTTTACAAATAAAAAGGTGGTGGGCCAGATTTGGCTGCAGACCGCAGTTTGCAGACCCCAGTTCTAGAAGGATAAACAGAAAGTTTAGAGCTACTGCCCACACATCAACAGAGACAGGCAGGATCAAAAATGTGAGTCCCTGATTCCATGCTGGCGGGTGTGGTCAGGGAACTGAGAAGTCATTTTTTTTCTCATTCTTGGTCCAGTTACATACAGAAATGGTCTCTCGAGTTACAAGACCAGGAGATAGGGCAAGTTCCAGGGAGAGGAGAAGGGGGTGGCTGGCAGTGCTGGAGTCCTGGGGAAGGGTCCGCTCCCTCTCAGGGTGGGACTTTGGACAGGTGCCGGTGCAGGATTTCCTCTGCCCGCTTTAGGTACTCGGCTGCCTTCTTCTTCACTCCTTCCCGCCGGGCAGGCGATGGGTCACCTGTGGAGAGAGAATGGCTCAACTGAGCTACTGGGTTCAGAACCCCTGTCTAGACCCTTATCGTTCACAAAGCAGGTGTCTTTCCCCTTCCCTGGGGATCAGATCTATCTTCCCATTTTATAAACAAGAAAACTGAGGCCACAAGAGGGAGAGAAACTGCCCAAGGCTTCACAGCTTGTCAGTAAGGAGCAATCCTCATCCTTGACTTGCTTGTTCTCCACTTTCCCTTCCCTTCACTGCAGCACCTGGGACCCCAGGCCTGACCCTCCTCTCTCCAGTCCTACTCACCGGGGACTCCCTGAAGCAGGATGTGCACGCCGTCCCGGTAGCCCTGCAGAGCTGCAGCGTAGGCGCCTGCCTTCTCATCCCGCAGGGCCTGGGTGATGAGCTCAGTGGCTTGGCTCACATAGGCAGGGGGGGGCCCTCCTTCCTTGTCCTCTTCCTCCTCCTGTCCTCCAGGCTCCCAGGCTTCCTGGTCCAGCCTCTCAGACTCTGCCTCCATTGCTGTCAGCTCACCTATGTGGGTAGGACTGGGGCCTGCACCTTCTGCAATCAGATATGGAGGACTCAGGCTACACTGGCCGTCCCTTTCCCAGGGCCTGCTGCCCATCCCCAGACCTCTCTTCCCATTAGGGGACCAACCTGGCCCAGGTGGGGAGAAGCAGTGCCTGAGCAATTCCGAAGCCACTGTGCATAGAAAGGTAGCCATGATCCATTTGACTGGTGGAGTTCATATGCTTTTGTAAAAACAGCCTACCTTCCTAATTCTTTCTTTAAAGTACACATTAACCTTAGTTTGCAAGCTCTGGGTCACTATTCTTACTTTCCTCCTGACTACAGCTGATCTATCAATCCAAGAATTCCCTCAATAAAGTTTAATTGAAGGATGCTAGACCAACTACGCCAGGCCAAGGGTAGAAATACTCCAAGCCTTGGAATCTTAGGGCTTTTTAAAAACAACAACAACAAAACAAACACCCATATTTTTATTTATTTCAAAGGGGAAGGGAGAGGGAGACAGAGACAGAAACATCAATGATGAGAGAAAAATCATTACCAGCTGCCTCCTTCATGCCCCCACTGGGGACCAAGCCCGCAATCTGGGCATGTGCCCTGACCAGGAATCAAACTTTGACCTCCTGGTTCATAGGTCGATGCTCAACCACTGAGCCATGCTGGTCGGGCTTAGGGCTCTTGTTGAGGCCCCACATGTGAAGACACTGGGTAGTAGGTATCCTCACATTCCAGAGAGAGGGCTCACATACCCCCAGGACTGGCAAAGAGGTGGGTGAAAATCTCCTTTGTAGCTTATACAAAAGAAGACCAGAGATCTGGTGAATCTGCGATAAAAAAGTCTTTGAAGGCAAGGTGCAGAAGCAAGAAGCACCATGGCACACTGCTGGCCCAGAGAGGGAAGTGTGGGTATCTCCCCAACCCCATCCAAGTGACCCCATGAGCAGCGCAGGGCTTCCTGCAGGAAGGGAAGATGACATCTCACTTCCCAGCTGCGCCTGCATCCCTCTGTGTCGCTAATGGAGAGAAGGCAGAAGAGTTCTTGGGGTGCCCTAATACTTGTGTTCGGGAGTTTGGTGTGAGATGAAGAGAGACAGAGCCACGCTTGTCTGGAGCTTCCGATGCTCAGAGGCCCACAAGAGCAGGGCGAGAAGATGAGGCAGCATCTGAGCAAAGTGCAGTTCCTGGCTTTGGGGGTCAGGGTTTGTGAGTTCTCCCACAGGCTGAGGGGAAGTCTCACGGGAGCCACCTTGGAGGACTCTTAATGGGGCTCCTGTCTAGGCGTCTGGCCACCGGGCAGCCCAGGCTGGGGCAAGGCAGAGTATTTGGACATCTGCCCCTCAGAGCCGGCACATCAGTCCTGCCTTGTCCCCCCAAATTCCTTCCTCCTCCCCAACCCTGGAGGGGCCGGAGCAGGAAGGGGAGGGAGTAAATTAGAGGAGCAAAAGGACCCTCATACCCTTGGCCACCAAGGGCCTGGTCACCAGGACCAGGGGCCAGACCACCAGTCAGGACTGAGCAGGGTTGAGGGGAAGAGGGTGAAAACCGGATGAGAGACCGAGGTCCTGGTTTGGACCAGACCTGAGGTGAGAGAGCTCAAATGTCTGAAACTGATCCAAAAGCTAAGTACCTGCCGGAGGTCACCAAAGGAAGAAGAAGAGAAGCCAATAAAATGGGCTTAAAGGCTGTCGAGGAATCCAAATGAAACGGATTCATGATGATCCCTGGGTGAGACCAGCCCCTTCAACACAGCAGCTGCGGGAGCAGCACAAACGCAGAGAATCCACCGTGGAGAGATCCAGGGTCGCAGAGTCCAGGACTGTTGGGTCCCCCCATCTCAGTGCCAGGAGCTCAGGACCTGGATCTCCACGGGGACCCCTTCCATCTTGGTGCCCCCACAGGCCTTCCCCTGCTGCTTCCTGAGCCCAGGCCTCACCCGCCCTGACCAACAGGCCTCTCCTGACCTCAGACCCTGAGCCAGCCCGAAGCAGGGTGGCCCCTGCTCCTTCCAGAGCTTCTGCAGGGAGAAGATCCCCCCTGGGAAGGGGCTTATTACATTCCTGCATGGTTGCTCACTGCACAAGGGCATCCAGCTTGCCACGCCCTGGCACAGGGCGATGGGGCCTGCTTCGAATTCTCCTGGAGGCTGCCATTTGCCCACAGAGGGCACCTTTCTCAGTCTTCACTGCCTGCCTCCCTTCCTCTGAGCACCTTCTGCCCAGCCCTCCCTCTGATGGTCCCAGCTGTTACCTTCCTTGGAGAAGGGGTCGAAGAGGGCAAGCTCGGCCTCAGTGAGGGGGCCTCGGGCAGGAGAACTAGACGCCTCCTCGGTGCTCCCACAGTTAAAGAGAAGATCCAGGGCCTCCTGGGCAGGGCTGGATGGCAGGGGGTCCGCTGAGAAATAGATGGGGGACATTTATGTCTGCCCTTATTCCTTCACAGCTTTCAAAATGAAATGGAGCTGTCTCACTGAATCCTAGCAGCAACCCTGAGTGTAGACAAGCCCATCCTTAGGGTCTGTGCCCATTTTACAGATTAAGAAACTACAGCCTAGGTGCCCTGTGCAGAGCTCCCGGCGGGTTAGTGGTAAAAGAGCTGGAACACACCCCAGGCTTTTCACTAAGATCACTGAGGAGGGAGTGGGCCCCCGCCCCACAATGGACCCACCAGCCTTGGCTCCCTCCCCCAACCCTAATACCTGGCACCTCCAACTCCTCAAGGCCCCTCTTCTCTGTGGGGAGTGGCTGGGGTAACCAGGACTCATCAGGTGGTGGCTGGAGCTCCTCAGGGGGCGGTGTGGGGATCAGAGGGGGTGGCAGGATGTGCAGGTCCCTGGACACCTGGGAGGGCCGTGTCACCTCCCCACCCTGCAGGAGAGACCAGCCGGGAGGAGTCACAGGGTGCAGCCCACAGGGTGCAGCCCACAGTGTGCAGCCCGGGAGCAGGAAGGGTTCCCAGGTACGGGGCAGGGGTCGAGCAGGCCCACATACCCGGAAGAACTCCTTGAGTTGGGGGCTGTTGTTGAGCGCGGGGATATGCACAGTGAAGCGAAGCAGGTCCTCAGCCCCTTTTCGCCG